TTGCCAAGCTCACCTATGGAGCCCCCTTCTGGAGGGGGCTTCTCTATTGCTCCTGTTTACCCACTGAAGGTGGCAAACTCTATTCCTATTTTAGGGGCAAATTCAGCTCACTGATGGAAACCTGCTAAGTTCTTCTTACTAAGTCTCCCTCGATACTGCGTGGTTAATCCACTGCAGTCCAAGGTTCTGGGTGGAGGTGTGGGAGCCGAAGATCAATAGCAATGCTAGGTCCAGGAGGTGGGGGTCCCTGATGGCAGCAGTGGGACTGCGGGGGCGCGAGTCACAGATTGGAGTTCCTAGGTCCTGAGGCGGGTGGCCAGGACTGTGGGACATGGGGGTGGAGGGCTCTGGTTCTGGCCCAGCCCTGTGTGCACCTCTTGCTGGAATTCCCAGTTTCTGCGAGGTGGTCTGCGAAGATAGTGGGAGTCTCAGGTGGGGCCCGGGTCTAGCCTGGCTCCTTGTGCGCCTCTCTGGCTGGAGTTCCCAGGTCCCGTGAGGTGTTCTATGGAGATGGCGGGAGTCTTATAAATTCTTTTGTTCATAGAGCTGCAAATCAGTATTGGCAGGGTTAGGGGCCATCTTTAGAAATTAAAGGATTTAAGGACACAAAGGATTAAGTAGGCTCTGAATTAACCCTTTCATTTTGCTACTTGGTACCATGGTTCTTCCTGTACCCCTAAGGATTAAGACTTTAATAACAACAGAAGCACAGATAGTAGCATTATCCAGGGTACTTAAGGGTCTTTCAGAACCATCTGTTTTAGAAATGCAAAACTCAGCACTTCACGTAATGACCTTTTTTTTCTTTTTTTCCCTTAGTGACTACTCTTTTGTGAACCTGTACCCAATGGGCCTGTACCATATACAGGATTTAATTGTTCCTATAAGCATTCTATAGATCTGGAGCCAGTACTGCTTGGCTGAGAAACAAAACTACTCAAGCAGTTCATTCTTAGACATACAGATAGGGTGAAGCTGAGACCTACCCAAGGCCAACTTAGGAGGGGCCCTGCTACTGAAATTAGGTCAGCAGACACTTACAGGGCGTCTCAGCATAGCATAGAGCAAAACAACTCAAAGCACAAGGTGCCCAGTAAGCAGAAGCTTGATGAAACATTGTCATTATACCCCTCTATTTCCTTAAGTACAGTTTTTGTACATCTTTATTTTTTGTATTTTAAAGAGAAAAAATCCAGAAAAATCAAGAAGCAAACAAACAAGAAGCAACAACAATAACAACAACAACAAAAAAACCAATACTAGCAATGTAGAGTTTCAAAACAGGACAATAGAAATGTAATGATTATTATATTGTGTATTGTTATCTTCAAAATAGTTGCTCAGGTTGTCAGATACAAGAGTAAAACAAGACAAAAAATGAAATAAAAGATTGGATTTCAAAAACAAAATCGAAGGAAATCCCCCACCATTGCTATAATGCATATTGTTATCCTCCAAATGGGTGCTCAGACTATGAGTTTCAGGCCTACAAAGTCAATCAAACAGTACAAGTGTTAAGTTACTGTTTCTTTACTTCAGTTGCTGTCATCTCAGCCTGAGTTCCTCCGAATCAGCCTGTTGCTGGGGCCGGGATAAGGTGTTGCTTTTCTAGTCTCCCAGCCCATGTGCTCACTGGTACATGGGAAGGGAGAGGGAGAGGCAGGAAGAGAAAGGGAGAGAGAAAAAAGGCGTTTATCACTCAGTATCTGTGGGGGATTGGTTCCACGAGCTTACCTACCCCACCAGGTAACAGAATCTGGGTGTTCCAAGTCTTGGTGTAAAATGATGTCAGATTTGTGTATACCTTATTCATATACCCTGGGAACTTTAACTCATCTCTAGGTTACCTATAATGCCTAATGCAGAATAAATGCTAATACAAGGTCAATGCTATGTAAGTAGCTATTATATTGCTTAGAAAATAATAACAAGAAAAAAGGTCCATATTTGTTCAATACAGATGTGATTTTTTTTCCAAATATTTTGATCTGTAGGGGGCTGAATCTGGATATGGAGTTCATAGAAACAAAGGGTTGTGTGTACCTTTTTTAAAAAAAATGCTGGCCTGAGAATAAATAAAGCTATAAAATTATTCAATGACTAATTCCTAAGAAATTGGAATCCTGTGTATCCATCCCCCTCCACATTTTATGCCATCTTAGTTACTTCTCTTGTTGCTGAGACACAATACCTGATGCCCAAAATTAAGGGAGGAAAAGGTTTATTTAGCTCACAGTTTGTAGAAGTTTCCATTCATAATCAACTGGCTCCGTGACAGGGTGGCACATGGCAGAGGGGGAACAGTTCATGGGGGCAGAAGGCAGCAAATCAACAAGAGGAAGGATGGAGGAGAGATAAGCCTCTTTCTGTCTCTTACGTTGTATGCAGGCTCCCCACCCTAGAGCAGGCACAGCACTCACCCCTGAATCAATTAAAATCCAGATTAAGGCAACTCTGAAAAGTTGCCACCTCCCATGACTGCATGAGGCTTTAGGGGAATATCTAGGCACAAACCGTATCATCTTCTTTTCCAGTGATGGAATGAGCAATGATTGAACAGAAGTAAGGGTAGAATGAGATAAATTTGTGTTTGAATACATTTGATGGATTTATAGTCTTTGTAATGATTTAACAAATTTAGGTTGTAGTTTTTGAGAAATATCAAGTTGAATGTTTTCCACATCCCAAAGTGGTAGAAGGCTGACTTTTTCTTCTTCCTCAAAATAAGTGTTTCTTTCACAGAAAAAAAATTACATTTTCATACTTGAATTTTTGTATACAAAGTCAGTTACTATGTAGTTCAGGGAGGTTATAGATAACTTTCTGATTGCTTATCCCTAACTCAAAAATCCAGAATCCAAAACTTTTTGAGGACTCACAAGCTATATAAAATATTTTAGATGTTGGAGCATTTTGAATTTCTGATTTTCAAAGTAGGAATAATCAATGAATTGATTCTCTGAAAATATTTTAAAAATCTGAAAAACTTTGAATTCTGAAACAGTTGTGGTCCAAAGCCTTTTTAGAGAAAGGCTATTTAACCTTTTATAAAGAAAAACTGTGATGGGCATAATGTGCATTTATTGTTTAAATTACATTTGACTTTTTGGCAGGTCTTTTATAACTATAGATACTCAAAATCAGGGGGGTGTGAACTTACTGTGAAAATGACATGTGATATACAGGCACCCTTTCACTGTTGAGAGGCATCATCTAAAAGTCTACAAAATAATATGAGAGTAATTTGAAGAAATTAAACGTGACATTAATGACTGATACTAATGGGCCATTGCTACATGGTAAACTAGCATCATTTCTGCCTTCTCATAGATGCATATTTTTTCCGAGCATTAGGCCAGATAGGAGGGGAGAATATTTGCAGCCCAGCTCCTGGTTACCATTTCCTTCTGCCCTCCCATCCTGACACAGGAGTCAGGAACCCACACATACGCATATTCAAGCCAACCCTACCTAGACCACTGGCCATGGCCTCACTTTCAGGAGGAGCTACTGGAGGGAGAAGAAGGCATTCCAGGTAGACTGTCACTGCCTAGCATGGCTCGTACTTGTCCTCTGTATATTCCCACACATAGGTACTTTCTAATATGTAGTTTCTTCGTTGATTTTTTTAAGTAAATGGGCTATTATTTAAATTATTTTGACCCTGAAATTTGGTGAATTTTTTACTAGATCATAAAGATTTGCTTAGCCAAGAATGTTACTGAATGTTCTACCTATAAGCCACTCAGGGTAAATATGGCTTTAGGCAAAAATTGTTAAATGATCAGAATAAGACAATACATAGAGCATTAAGAAGCTTGGACCTTATAAGTTTTTAACAATAAGCTTTGGTGTGTTGTTAGCTTTCCAAAATCCAGCCTAGTCCTGAGACCTTTCTCCTGCTGCTCTGATGACTGTCACTGAGCTGTTGATATGACCTAGTTCAGTCTTAGTTATGGTGGTCCTGTCATGCTAGATCGATTGATGGATTGATCAGGGCTAGCTATGGAAACTAAGGCATTTGCACTGAGTTCCTTTCCCTGGATCCTTAAAAAAAATACTACTTCCCAGCAATAGAGCCTCTCTAAATTTCTCACACTGTGCTGAAACTTGTTAGCCTCCTGCCTCAGACTCTTAGAGTACTGGGATTGTGGGTGTGTGCCACTATACCTTGGAATGTCAAATGTATGGCATATTCCTATAGCATCCTAAAACAAGATGCCTTCCACATACCTGGGAGCTAAGTTTGAAATTTAGGGTAACATAAAAACAGATCACGAGCAAAGGAGAAAAACTTAACATCAATTTGAGCACCTATCAAGTTGAGTGGTAAACACAGTAGTAAGTCCTTACACAAAATCTATGAAGCCAGTTTTGTCATCCTTATTTGCAGGAGGAAACTGGTTTTCAGTGTTAGACCAAAGGCTTTGGGGAAATGTGGTGAACACTTGGGAGAACTCAGATTTCAATATTTCTAGCCCCTCCTTGTGGCTGCACCCTTCAGAAGGTTAGCGGGATCATTCTTCATACTTGCCTCTGTACTTCATACTTACACCGATTGAAATCACTAGTGAGTGTGTGTGCAAGGACTCTCTGCTCATCATATGTCAAAGTTTGAGGTAAATCTCAATTCACAAATCTAGGGTAACTTTCAGCAGGGAGTATTCTCTTTCCATCCAGCACCCTAAGCACTTTCTACCCTTTCTTCAGCCTGATAGATGGGTAATTTATTTGTCCTCGACCTATCTACTTAATTAGACTGCGGGCTACTTAATTAGATTACTTAACGCTCCAGGTAGGAATCGCCCTCCACTTTTGTGGCTGTCTGAAGTCTGGCCCATGGTAAGGGGCCTTTCTTGTAAAGAAATTCACTTGCAGAAGTGAATCTCTAAGGTGAGTTTTCATCTGTTTATGATAGATCTAGGTTAGAATATACTACCTGTGGTATTCTCTTTCTATGAACTGAGAACTTTTGTTTTGTTTTGGGTTCATTTTAACAGACTTAAAGAAAGCCTCCAGTTCAAATGCTACAAAATCCAATCTGCCCAAATCTGGGCTTCGTCCTCCTGGATACTCCCGTCTTCCAGCTGCCAAGCTGGCGGCATTTGGCTTTGTCCGGAGCTCCAGTGTCTCCTCGGTTTCCAGCACTCAATCTGTGGACAATGCCCAGCCGGAGGAGAGCCGACCAGTCACCCGTGAGTGGGGCAAGAGGGGCAGGTGGGGAGGGTGACACCTGAATGGTTCTCTGGCAGCGTGACTATGTACTGAGGATGATTCAGTATGCCTGGGTCCCTGTGTGTTGTTTACTTTGCCTGATTAATTAAGAATACAGATAGACTCTTAATCCATATTGTTGTTACTGTATTTTAATCTTCCACTTAAGAAAAGTAGATAATTTGGCACTGTCCTTTTCTCAGTCATAGGGAATGAATGTGTAAGGAAATGATTGTACCAGTCTTTCAATCTAGACAATGATTTACTTGGGGACAGCCCAGAAGCCCTTTACCTTTGGGTTCTAGGTAAGGAGTCAAGGATCTAAGAAAGGTATTGCCACATTGTGCTAGCATGAAGCATGTCAGGTGTTAAATATCAGCTGAAGGAACCATTCAGTGATTGATGTTTACTCCCAGTGCCTTGACATTGGTGGAGCACTCAGCTAGTTTGTAAAGTCATCTGAATGGTGGTGAAATGGATGAGCGTGGCTGAGCATCTGAAAGTGCACGGCAGCTGGTCCCCATAGCTGAGACAGTGTCCCTGCAGGTCTTGTTTCCGGAGACATCCTGTAGGCTCTCTCTTAATGTGTGCCTTGCCAGCCCACCACGCAAGTCACAGCAGCCGTGGCTCGCAAAGGCCTGGAGATCAGTTATTTGACAGAGCTCAGCCTCATCAGATTCAAAGTTATTTTTATGGATCTGAAGCCATGACTGTAAGATGCTGGTTATCAAGAACTGGAGAGAAGGGAAAGACTCAGAGGATTCCACGTGGAGAGCTGCTTTCAAGGAATTACGGAAGTTGAATTGATCTGCAGTAATGAGGGAGAGAGGGAGAGGGAAAGGAGAAAAGAGACGGAAAATACTATTTTTTTTCAATTTCATGTTTCCGGGTTTGCTCACTATGTGGCTTTTCTTGGGATTATAGAGATGATGGGTAAATGTTTGTACCTTTACAGTTCTAAATTTGGCTCTACCTGCTTATTCCACAACGTTACATTTTCCGGTGTCTTGATGTGGTTGTAAGTGGTTTCTAAGGGCATTTTTTTTTCTCTCTGGGTTTCCTGAAGGTGCTGTGGCTCAGATCTGCCGTCATGTAGGATTCACTTTAGGAATATCACTTTAATTCAGGATAACAACATTACATGGCAGCTGCCTCCAAACCTGGAACATAAATATAAAACCTTTTGCAAGTATAGAGTCCATATTTTTGTATATATACATGCATATTTATAGTCTAACCATTTTGAAATACAGGAGTAACTATTATCATTTTTAGTTAAAAAAAACTAATGATGTATTTCAGAGGAAACATGAAAAAATAGCTTTCAGAGGGAAACAGAAAAAAAACTTTCCAGAGAAAGAGTTAAGATTTGATATCTTAGAAAAAATAATCTCAAAAGTGAGTTAAGCCATAATCTCATAATAGCAGCTTTTGTTAAAAAAAAAAAAAAACAACTAAGAACTGTGAGCAAAACAGTTTTAGATGTACTTAGGGTATTCTCATCTCTAAACTTTAAGGGACACTAGCTAGGGACCCCCTGAAGACCCAGAGGAACAAGGCCTGTTATGTACCAGAGAAAATAACTCCTATTTTAAGATGTTATGTTAAAATGGATATTTACACTTCAGAATTTTTTCCATGTTTCAAAATAGTATGGCAGAATTGATTTATAATTATTTACCATCTACCATAAATAAATTTGTGTTTTATAAATAAACCATAGAAAACCTTCCATGTACTCAAATTGATGTCTGAGCACCATGAAACATTAGAACTAAATTTATTATTAGATGTAAAGAAATACTGTGTTTCCATTCTGTAGGGGAGAGATAGGGGGTAAGTATACTACGAAGCTCTTTTAGAGACCTGGGAGTTATTAGGACGTATCTTAGTATCAAAGCTTTGTGGGTTCAGCTTGTGGAGACAATCTGTGTGAGATAAGATTTGATTCTTTTTTTTCCCCCTTGGCAGGTTGACCATATGTAGACATTGTGTTCCCATAGGATTCATTTTTAAGAGCATCACTGTGATTTGGAATTACAGCACTGTAGATATCTCAAAATTGGACACAATATAATACAGAACTGCTTTTAAGTGTGCAACTCAGACTTTCAGATGCTTTATTTTAAGATGCACTTCTGAATACTGTTCACATGGAGTGTTGCATGCTATATTTGGGGCAGCTCTAAGTGATTCATTATGAATTTATTACTGTTTCCTTGGCTGTTTGGTCCCATGGAATTCTGTCTTGTCTCCCTGGTTCTGAGGGACAAGTGGTGTTAAGTGTGTAGCGGGACTTGGTGAGGGTCCCACTGCCCCCTGCTAAATTATGTGGCAGAGGCCATTTGGGCCTCAGCTGTTCTGTGTGGACTGTTCTTTCCACCCTGAGTTTGGGTTCTGTGTTATAGCTTAATCCTGCTAAAAGGAGGCTAAGCCAAGGCTTTGGGGGTAATTTTTAACTTAAAATATACATTTAAAGGCTAACGTCTAAGCCAGCATTTAACTTGTAATTCTTTTATGGTTTTCAAAGATTGAAAGAGTGCCTAGATACACTTTAGATGGTAGATACTTAAAGAGACAACTAATTAATGCAGAATTTAGTATTGTGATTATTTATAGCCTAAAGTGTACTTATTTGTCAAATTATTCAGTGACGGTGTAGATTTGATTTTTCCATTGGGTAGGTGGCTGTTACTTAATCAAAACCTTCCAAGTATACATGCGGAAGGAAAATAGAAAGACTTAGAGGTTCATGAATTAGTCATTAATAAACATAGATCCTCTCACCCAAGAATAGAATAATTTATGTGGCAGATTCTATTTTATTGTATATTCTGAATACTGCCCATTTTATTGGGTGCTTAAGAAACAAATTATCTATCAAAGAACTTGATGAATATGGCATTTATAGCTATCTTTTCCAATTCCTTTTCCTCTTTTCAAACATATTGTTATATTTTCTGTTAGAGGTTGTCTAAGACCAGAAATCATGAGGCAAAGAATTTGAAAAGAGAAGGGAAAAAGAAATCCCTTTTCCTGGTGAAGAGGGATTGTAGAATGCCAGGGGAAGTGGGTTTCAGCTGAGGAAATGGCAAAGAGGCTGACTTCCGTGTAAGTAATCTGGGCACAGGATCAGTGTTCTTAGAGCCTAGAAAATGGCACAGAATCGAGGGCTGGAGGCTGAGGGCTACTTCCTGGTTAGGGTGTCCGGGGACTTTCTCAGAGAGGGGTGTAAAGCAGGCAGCATTTGGAACAGTGGAGATAGGTTCTAGGAGGGAAGTCTCTGGGGAGGCAGGCTAGTGGTGCAGCCAGAAATCCTTCTGCATTTTAATTTTTTTTATTTGAAAGAGGATAAAACAGAACAGAAGTAAGCAAATCAGAACAGCACAATGCAAGCAACACAGGACTTTAAAACAAGAAGACTGGAAATCAACTTTATTCTTTTGTTTTGATTGGTCTTATTCTGTTATGTTTTATTAGATTTTATTATGTGTGATAGCATGGACGACTGTTTTGAAAAAAAAAAGAGATATTACAGTAACCACTGTTCATTTCTTGTTATCTTGCTTTGAAACCCTTCTGCATTTTGAGGGGTTCCCATCCCTGGTGCCATCCATCTCTGCGATGCCCTGGGATCTGAGCTCCTTGGTTTGTCCTCAGGATGTGTGTATCTGATTGTTGCTCATTCACAGTTGTCAGCACTTTGGACACGCTACTCACATCCGTCTCTCCAGCCACACTTCTGTTTAGAAGCACTCATCTCTGTCACAAGTACTTGGTCACATACCACTGTCCAGGGTGCCCTAGTCACCTCCAACTGAGTGTTTTCAAAAAACAAAACAAAAAACCCCCCCAAACCCACAATTCTTTGTTTTCTTTTATAAACCAATTCCTCATCTCTAAGCTGCTCTGTCTTTTAGTGATGTCTGTGATCTGGCCACTCAGGCTGAAAGTTTCTGAATGAGAATTATCTCTTCTTTTTTGCCTGTTTTTCTACTCAATAATCAATTTTGGCTACTTATTTCTCTTTGGCATATAGTATAGATAATTTTTCTCGTCACCTTACTTGAAACCTGTGGCAGCTCTCAGCTGAGCTATCCCTGGCATACCTTGGCTCCCTCGTCTACAAGGCACTTTCCCTTTGACCTTGGTTTGATTGTTCCATGGTGCTTCCTGTGTGCTTCAGCTCCTTGCTGGACATTTGAGGTCCAAGACCTGGACCTGCCCACCTCCCTGCATAGTTCCTGTGCACCATCCCAGCACATAGCCTCAAGTAGCCAACCCGAGCTGTCCATATGTTCTTCTGAGAGCTTACAATTTCCTGCCTTTGGGTTTTGGAGTTTCTCTGGAGCATGCTTCTCTGCTGTCTGCTATCGCTCTCTCTAGACTTCAGGTGCACTTAAAATTTCTCCAAAAAGCCAACCCTGTGTGATCTTTTCCTTCTGGGAATTCCTAAGGCTCTTTTCTCATGTCATTTCTGTATCATATATCATCTAGGCTAGTGATTTCTTTCTGGGTCCTAAGAATTATAAACTCCCTGAACTTAAGAACTGTGTTTCTGACTAATTTTAGTATATCTCATGCTAAAGAATAGTGTTTTTTTTTTTTTGTTTTGTTTTTTTTTGAGGCAGGGTCTCGCTATGCAGTTCAGGCTGGCCTTGAGCTCACTTTGTAGCCCAGGCTGGTCTTGAACTCACAATGATCCTCCTACCTCAGCCTCCCAAGTGCTGGGATTACAGGCGTGAGCCACCTTGCCCGGCAAGAATAGTGTTCTTTACCCTACCAGAATTCTAAGGAAATTCTCTCCCAAAAAAATGTTTTTTTTTTGTTTGTTTGTTTTTGTTTTTTTTTATGTAAGAGTTCTGGAAAGGTGACTTTTGGCTTTTGAAAGATACTTAGTTTTAGATTAGACTGTATTTGGGTTAAAATTTACTTTGTGTGCATATATTGACATGAAGTTCATGATTGTGGCTTTCACAGT